TTTCAAAAGGGCATGACGCCTCGAGTTTCTTCCGGCCTAAATATTTTACTTTCTAAAGAGAGAGAGAGAGAGAGAAGAGAGAGAGAGAGAGGCCGCAGAGTGCTATATATGTGTGCGAATAAAATAAAACCAAATTAAGGGTTACTAGCAGATGTGAGCCATTATGAAACTCCTGTGTGTGCCCATGAATTTCTTTCTTTATTTCATGCCTCCATTCTCTTGCAAAGCTCTACTTTCCTACTCTTGCGCGGTATAGCAGAGCAGTATTACCATGCTAAGCTCCATGCCTTTACTTTTCATCACTCTCTCTCTCTCAACCTTTTAGGACTGTCGTGTATGAACCTGCACAGTATCCGAATTTCGTTGAAGAGTAGCAACTATGGCGTCTATGGCAACACGCTACAGGCCGTCGTCACCACCAAGCGAGAATCGAATGTATAAGGAGCCATCTTGGCGACCTACATCAAATCATTCCGAGCACAGAGTGACAGCAGACACGTATACAAAACTCAAGGCGGTTGGGTGTTCGGAATGCTTCAGACACTCCCTTTACCCTTCCCCCAGCGTAGGGTAGCAAACCGGGTGTGTGCCTAGTTAACCTCCCTACCTTCTCTCTTGTTCTTCCTTCAGGCACTAACTAGAAATTCGCGAAAAATTTGCGGACGGAGGGTGTCGTATGAGCCAACGTTTCGACGAGCGGGACATGTCCTCTTAAATTCTGCTTGAATTTATGAATAAGTGGGAGAAAAAAAGTGCTTCCCGGGCCACTTACACATATACTGCGCATATCGTGGGTTGCGCATGTTGCCTGGCTTTAAAAATAAGTACTCTGGGATTTCATAATGCCTGAAAAGACAGAGAATAAACAGCAAGTGGCATTATTGCTGACCCAGAAGAACAGAAAGTCACTCCGGCGGGTCCAGACTTGATCTCCAATCTCCAGTTCACGAGGTTGGCGGGTTTTCGAAGGCAACATTTTGTGTCCTTTCTGGGCCATTCTTGCGAACAACTCGACATCTCGCAGATATTTTTTTCAGACCACAGCCCACGATGGAATCTGCAATTGCAAGCGTCTTCTGCTTCCTTGCAGGCTCCTATGGGATGTTCATACTTGTTTGTGTGTAAGGCAGGCAGAGGCGGCTGGAGTGTGCCATGGCAGGCAAATGAGTGCGCGTTTTTGAAGGATAGCGCGGAGCGGGACAGCAGCTTTGGAATGCGGAACATAGAAAAAATAAATAAAACGCCAACAGCCCAAAAGAGAGAAAGACCAAGAGCATCAGTTCGTACTGCGCCGAGCTCGAGCTTTACAGTCGGCTCGTATATATTAGAATTCCGCAGCATCAAAGAGTGAATAGAGTGCTGACGTGGGCCGAAAAAGTTGGCAAAAATGACGCACCGAAAATGCACAGGAGAAAGGAAAACATCAAACGACAGGTGGTACGTCCAATACGGCGCATAGAGGTGCTCCTCTGTGCGTTCGCCGATCTGACGTTCTACACGAGAATTTGAGTTCAGTGGCGCTGCGTGTTCGCCGGCTCCGGCCGCCAATATTTTGGACCACCGTGCGTCGTGCAAATGTCCTCGCTATTCCGACACGTACGGTCGGAGACGTAGCCGGGGCTGTCATGCTGAACGCACAGCAGAAACGAACGAAACGATAACAGAACCGCCAAGTAATGCTGTCTCTTGAATGAGCTGTACACCTCTGTTGGAACGTCGGAACGCGGGAAAGCCTGCAGTTGAACTTGCTGTTCTTTTTGTTATTTGTTCTCGAAAATTCTAACCACACCGAACGCCAAGCAACTGCGCTGCGGTGCTAGTGCTATGCAAATGAACTGCTCCGCACTCGGCGAGAATTCGGTCTTCTTCGCCTGAAGCGAATGAAATGGCGAAATAAGCAAAAAAAAAATGTGAGAGAGGAGGAAGCAGCGGGGGAACTCTTTTCACCCGTGGCACGAATCTGCAATGACCGCTGCCCTTCCAGTCCACGATCCACTCGGAAATGCTAGACTCGTCCCAACGCTCGCTACACAGTCGCATGGCGCACTCTCCTCGCTTGCGGCTTTCAATGGTCCATTCTTGAAGCCACATCAAAGCAGCGCTCGCAGGCAGCCCTCATAAATTTCTATGAGTCGCCTTCGCTTTTTCCATTTCTATACTCGTCCGGAGCAAGGCCACAAAAGCTTGTCGCTTCGATTGTGCGCAGAGGCGGCGAGCCGTAATTAGCACAAATATCTACAACGTTTTTGTCCCAGTACAATCAAACACACGAACGCAGGTTCGTGAGTATACGCCTTGCTTAACGTCTCTTCGTTTAGGCTTGCCGTAATTAAAGGGACTGTCTCCCGTCCTTCATCGTTCTGCTGTTTTGTGTCACAATAAAGGGCGTATTATGCGAAGTGTCTAACTTGGCAGCGGTTTTTCTGGAAGGTGCCTAGAAGTTTTAAAAAGACTTTTTTTTTCCGCGTTATATCTTCTTCCATTGGTGGGATGAATGCCTACAACACTGGTCTGTGTCGGTGAAAGTCAAAAACTGAAACCACATGCGGTTTTCGCAGGCTTCATCATTGTTTGGTTATTATAAAACAAATACCTCAATGGTCGTTTTACGCACGCACACACGTTTTTTTTTTTTCTAATGAGCGGCGGCAGATGCCGTGCTTGCGTTTCTCCACCGCTTGCAGGCAGACATGCAGGCAAAGCGAACACACTGCTGGCAGCGCCACCGGCCGGCTATTTAAACGCGTGAGAAGAGAAAAAAAAACGAACATTATACTTTGGCACAACCTAAATCAGCCTAAAGTGCATAAAATACAATTTAAAGTAATACGTGTTTGTTTGTAAGCAAACTAAGTAAGATTTCCTGCGAGGATTTCTTGTCCTATCAATAGACTGTCAAGACTGACTACATTCGCTCTTGGGTGACGCTAGTGGTCACCTTTTATCGACTTTCAACATCAAGTTGAAATTATAATTCATTTTTCCTGGCACGAAAGCATGCTCGCTGCCGCCAATCGGAAAACTTTGCCGAACGGTAGACAGTCCATTTCACATTTAAAACAGTCTTCTTTGCTTGTGAAATCATGTATACGTGGTTGATTATTCCTACTTTTGCGTGCATTGTCCTTTTCCTCTTTTGTCCTTTGGTATGCTGTAGCTATATTATATCCGTCTATCCTCAGATAGAGATACTAAGTGCATCAGAATCAGAGTTCAAGGAGACAATGGTGTACTTATACGTTTACGCGCAGACCGGGAAGAATGGTGGTCATAGGCTACAATGCGGCGAACTTCACTACGCGTACGGCTCATAGTGGTCAAGGTGACGTTAAACACTTTCAAATAAATAAATCACAGCTATTATCATCCATCATTACCACTCGTCACCGTGCGCAGCGCAACTCCGCATCGGTTTCTTCTTCTTTTGACAGACGTTCAGCTGCCTCCGTCTATTTCTTGCATCGTCGTCAAGCCATTGTTCCACGTTTCGGCTACGCTTGCGACAAAAAAAAATACAAAGAAAAAGAGACCACTCTCATTGTACTCACCAGTCTACTTTTTTTTTTCTGGCAGTCTGTGAATCGCCCACTTCTTCTAGGGCCAACTTTGCGGCATTGTAATTTTATTTATTGCGCAGCGAGAGGTGCGCAGTGGACGACTTCCTGGTGGAACCGGAGCCCTATCATTAGCGCCCGCCTAGGTTTCCAGTTCATCGCCTACTGTCCGGCATTGACCATGAATGTTCCTTTATCCCGGGCACCGTCCCCATTCGTTTATCTTGTCATCCGTCGCTTGCATTGTGACCTGCTTTTAATCATTCTGGACAGTCTCGTTGGCAGCTTCGCACTTTTCTCTCCAACTTCTTTATTTTGATTTTCTTTCTTCCCAGTTCTTTCCGTCATCATTTTTTTTTATTCCGCACTACTCTCCTTCCACTATTATACCTACACTTTTTTTGTTCTATTTTTCTGTAGGCCTGCTGTTCTTCTATGTTGTATTCGTCTTCCTTTTTTTTTTTGCGCGTTGCGTTCGTTGATGCTCCCAGTTCATCTCTGTTTCATTCTTTCGATAATCGTTACTACCGACCTGCATCAATCTCACGCAGAAGCGAAAGTTCCTCTTGCCTTATCTTGCCCGCCAATAGAATTGGAGCATCCGCGTAAAAATATCTAACGATTTCGACGCTGGTACTAATATCTGCTTGTAATTGTAGCAAATTGTTGTTCACTAGAGAGTGTTATATTCTCTTTATAGATGACAATAACTAGTTTCTCACTTCGTTCAATAGCGTCTTTTCCCACACAACAGATGTCTACTGCCACAAGAACTTATAAAATGTTGCCTGGATATTACTGCAGTCCTGTTTTCGTCTATGACTTATCTTCTTAGGAAAAAAACACGCGATATAGAAACTTCTGAAGAGACACGTAGAGATATATCGCGTGACTTTTGTGAGAGCACGCCTCTTCACTGTAAATGATCTCTGGCAGTTCTTTTTATGTTATCTCAGTAATAAGATGATCACGTGCAACTGAATAAACTAACCATCATAAGCAAAATATATATATATATATATATATATATATATATATATATATATATATATATATATATATATATATATATATATATATATAAAGGAACATCCGTAGAGTGTTACGCTTGAGATGCGATACTCTCCACAGACTTGTAGTAATTATGTCGGACGCCGCTGATCATGCTTCAAACACAGCGATACCAACACTAGAAATCGAAGCATCTTTAAACTTGACTCTACTACGTGCCAAATACATGCCATGATATGAAATACACCATAGTGATGGACACTGGATAAACTTCGACAACCCGTTGTCGAAATGTAAGTAGGTGGGTGTTTCTGTGTTTCATCCTCATCGAAATGTGGCCGCCATGGCCTGGAGGGAATTCAGCTCGCGTCATATTGCATAGCAGCACTATACAACTTCACGTAAAAGCTACGAATCTTCGGCGACATCTCTCACCATAATCTTCGATGCTCCAGGCCGAAACCGCCGCGGCGCACTGGAGCACTACCAGAGCCGAGGCGAGCGTGGCTGTGGTGCGGTAGCCCTGTTGCATCATGGCGGCGCTGGCGAAGAACTCCCGCACATTGTAGCCAGCAGTGATGTATGATGAGCACACGCCACCTCTCCTACCGCGCTCAGGGATATCCTGCACGCATCAAAACATGCAACCGTGTAATTCAAACTTCATACAGGCAATCGAATTATTTCCCCAAAATATCTAAGAAAGAAGATAATTTCGAGGACCCGTTCATTTTGTTTTCACATATCCATAACGAAAACCAGCAGTTGACGATGTCAAGGCAGGTATATGGGAGGTTAATTGTAATGTTTTAGCCTGTATTGTAGTACCTGTGGTAGAAATCTGAAGGGAGAAAAGTCGGCGAAAAGACAACTTGTTGCTGGGAGCGACCAAACATGTAACGATCCGAATGTTGCAAGTTCGCTCCCTGCTTGGAGGCAAGTTGTTTTTCTTTTGTACAGCTTAATTTCGTTAGAGCTATTTCACAATTACTACAAAGCACTTTTTCTATTCGAAAGACTCCGCTTTGGCATTTAAAAAACATACATAAAAACCACACAGGTTCATCACACATAAATAAAGAAGTTACACTCATGAATAAAGTTAAAAAAATCTTAATGCACCTAAAACAGTACAATATACTGTAAATGGTACAAATTGATTGATATGTGGGGTTTGAAGTCCCAAAACCACCATATGGTTATGAGAGACGCCGTAGTGGAGGGCTCCGAAAATTTCGACCACCTGAGGTTCTTCAACGTGCACCCAAATCTGAACACACGGGCCTACAACATTTCCGCCTCCATTCGGATGCAAACGGTACTATACTACATTCTCTATACCTTACTTGGCTTCATTACCTTCTGGTTTTTATTCAAGCAGTGTATCCAGCAACATTAGCAATAGTGTAGGATACATATGATAGTAAAAGAAATTTATCCGTAATGATGTATGTTAGATAAAAAGAGAAAGCAAGCAAGGGAAGAGTGTGAGGTAAACCAGATGCACGTGCCGATTTGCAAAATTATTACATTAGGCTAAAGTGCAATATTTCATGTAGCAAGGCCTTCAGGTTTCTTGACCTTGAAGTAATGCTCCTTTCGCCAGTTGTTGAGTATAACTGCAACACATCAGCAGCTGAATCTATAGACATTACTGAGTAGCAAGAATATAGAACCGAAGTGACGTGAATAGGAATGTCATTAGACAGGAAGTACTCTCTGGAATCTGTCAGCAGTGGCTTGTCGAAACTCAAGCCTATCCTACGTACAGCAACAATACGTGCGTAGAGGTGAAAGTGGACATAGGCGAGGTGAAACGGTAAATTAGACGATGCTAAGTTAAAAATCAGCAACAACCGAAGCGATTACGCTCTGACAGGTTCAACCCGCACACAGTTCAACAAGGTTTCACAAATAGCGTGGCGCAGCGCCAGCGTCACGCAGCATGAGTGTCACTCAAAGAACATGAGAGTGAGATACGATGGGGAAAGGCGGGAACTGACATTGACCGCAGATACATCTGGTTTGCTACCATGCGCTAGGGTGAGAGGCAAAGAAATACGGAAAAAAAGGAAGAGTACAATAAAGAGAATTCACCGTGGAGATGGTGGGCACTACCTATAGGTGGTGCCCACCATCTGTGCCCACCATGCCAGTACCAGCTATAGCTGGTACTGACATGGCTAGGCTTTAACCCTTTCAACTGTGTCCTTCAAAGCTATTGCTATTCCATTCATTCCATGGCTATCGTTTCTCTATCTTCTCTATCGCTTTTGTCTGTTTGATCATATACTTTTTCTTTCTCTCTATATTCCTCTATATTTTCAGTTTTCCTTACTTTCCATCTCTCAAAATTTCTCTTCCTCTGTCTTTGTATTCCTCTATCTTTCTTTCGCGGTTGTCGTTCTCCCGCCTTCTATCATTTCCTCTTTTCCCTTTCTTTCTGTCTATTTCTTCTTTCTCTTTTCTTTCTCCGTATTTTTATTATTTTCTCAGTGCACGTGCTCTAGGAGCGAAGCAAAAAAGAAGAGATGAAGAAGAGAACAAAAACAGCGCACACAGGTCAATAATGATGAACATTTTCTATCAACGACACATGCCAACCTCGAGCATAACAACTCTGGTGCAAAAATTAGTCTTGCCGAAAGCAAAAAGTGGTCACAGTGATTTACTTTATGCCAGATTTCACCTGCACACATAGTCAGCCAGCGTATATAGTGCAATGGTGCTTACACCTTCTCCGTCGGCATAAAATAGGGAAGGAAGGGAACATGCGACTGGCAGAGGGAGAAGCGCAGCGAATATTCCGGCAGAAGTCGTACAGAGTCCCCGGGCAAAAAACAAAAAAAAGAAGTAGTGACGTTGCGCCTGGAGGTTCATAAAACAGAAGTATCACACTAGAAAATGTGTGCACGTCACAATAGATCGGACGATAGACCAGAGGAACAGAGGGAACGTCTATCGTTCAAGCATCGCAAAGCACGAACATTTACGAGTGGGTGTCTATACTAAATTTTTCGAGCGTCTAGTTTATTGAAAGAAGAATTAAAGAACGATAGAATGGCATCCACTTGCAACGAGCAAAACGGACGGCAATATGAAAGCACAGTCTTATCCGGCAGCTTTAGCGGTAAATTACAACGAAATGCAAGAGATAGAAAGTAACATCTGCACACAAGGCAACGAAAGAGCGAGTGCCTTCCCTCTTGAAGGTTCTCGGAAGCTAGGTGGGTGAAAAAATATCGCCTCAGAGCTTCGTATCTTGCTCGCGCATGGCACTATCATATGAAAATCAGCAATTGTATTAACGTGAGCCCCGAACTAGAAAATTCTGCAGCGTGGTGTGCTTCGTGAAGATCCATTCCGCTCGATAGGCTTATTAACTCTGGACGCGTAAAAACAAAACAAAAGAAGAAGACAGGAAAAAAAAACTAAACCTTAGGACTGCATGCTTCCGGTTAATAACTTCGGTAGACGAGATGACGGCATCAACGGGACAAAAAGAGAAAAAAGAAGAAAAAATAAAGGACTAAGTCGATATTGTCGAGGCCGAAGTACGGCAGAAAGCACAAACACGACGTAGCAGGCGACAGATATGACAGAGTGAGGATGGCCGAGCGGAAATATAGGCCATTTCTCTCTTTTATTCCGCCTCAGTGGTGGCTGGGGCGATTACGCCATTCTCTCGCTGTCCACTGCACACAGGCTCGTGTCTTCTGGACAGACGACGGATCGGCGTAATGGTTTACCACGGCTATTACAATACTGCGTTTCTTCGGACAGGCGCACGAAAGAATCACTCGCGTTGTCTTTCATTACGACGTAGCTGTCTTTGAGATTAATAAATGCGTGAGAAAGGGGGAAGAGGGAGAGTACTCTCAGCGACAGCTAACTGGCTGACTTCTTTTATTATGCTTCTGGAAGTACTTACGTCTTTCCAGCGCAGAGCGCTATCTCCGAGACTTCTCTCGCAACTAGAGTTACACGTGTCACCTTGAGGCTGATTTCAAGCGACGTAGCATAGAATGAGACTTCATGCAGTGTGATCAATTATGCGTATTTATTCATTTTTTATTTAAATCGATGACATTCCCTTTGCTTACATTAAAGAAAATTGTACAGGCAACACGCTGGTACACTTGGTAAAGGCAACAGGTGGTAGAGCTAAAACGCAACAACCACAGCTTGGCTACGGTGATATGAATTATTCAGTTGATATGAATTATTCGAGCCGTTAAGTGAAGTTAGCTGAATATTTCAACCTTGGCATTTCTGGATATAGTTATATCGTTTTAAAACATCTGACGAGGCGCGGATTTAAATATTGGGCGGGATAAATAGAATAATGTCACTGGGGTCATTGACCTGTCTCATTAATTTGTAATCAACGCAGGATCGAATATCGACCGCAGCAGCAGCGTTTTTATGAAGGCGAGATGTTTGAGGCCCAAGTACTTACATTGCGGTGCATGTAAAAGAACCTCAGGTCGTGGTAAAAATTTCCCGAGCACTCCACTACGACACCCCTGTAATAATTTCCTCATTTTGGTATGTAAAATTATAAAATTTATTATGATTTTGATGTTGGATCAGGAAAGTTGAAGTGAAATGGCTCGGTTTTCTGAGGTAGCCTTCAGACAGGGCTTGCAACGTGTCGCCAACCATCGGATTCCCGCAACGTCATCTTTAACCACGCTGTCACTGTATAGAAGAACCAATCACTTAAAATGTCGTTTGTGATCATTCAAATTTAGCTGTGAGACAAATGTCCGTTTAAATTATGCTCCATCGTTTGAGTTCTCTCAAAGAAATCCCACAGAGAGAGAGTATAGATCGGCTGGTTGAGCATATGGTTCGCTTTGTATGCGCTGTCAAAAACGCGCGCGCAAAAAAAAAGAAAGTAATGAAGAGTGAGAAATGACAACCATGGGTTAAATGCACTCGGTTATCTTTATCGCATTGGTTTAGCACAATATTCGACCCTATGTCCGACTTCCGCATGGTATATTCCTCGGCCTACATTGATGGACAAACATCGTTATCATCACCACGGCATTGGTGCGTCGGTGTCTCTCTCAGCGTGAATTCGCACGAACTACTGATTGTATTTCGGTTTAAGTTGTCGACGGTTGTGAAGAAACAGTGCATGAAATCGAGGTTTCAGCCGGTCAGCAGCATAATCGTAAACATTGTGTACGGCTACGCCCCACGTAGAAGCACCATAGTCATTAGTCGGCTGACACCGTAACTTTTGTATTCTCATCTATAACTTTCCTCCCCCGCTTTTTTGCAGGGTAAGGTAGCGCACCTGGCTCCGGTATGTCTGGTCAACTTCATTGCTTTTTTTCGATTTTTATTGATCCTCTCTAAAAACCCGTAGATGGAAAAATGACAATACTAATATTGTTTGCTTGGCGTTTGTTTTTACGGAATTCACTAAATCATGGCACGAAAGCTTCACTCCAAATGGATTTCAATGTGCGCCTTTATTAACTTCAATTAGCCAAGATGGTCACGCCGATTTAAAGAACTAAGTGCCGGAAATCGGACACGGACCCATGTTGAAGTAAATGATAATGATGGGCAGAGGGAAGGCTAAAGAAAGAAAGGGGTGCTGGACGAACA